ATGTGTGCCCTACATCAGCCAAAGCCTAAACGATTAAAAATCCATATTAATCAAAACATCGCGTACTATATATACCGATCTCAACTAGCTAAGATTAGATCTTCCAATTTGTACATATTGCACTACGCACATTCTGAAATCTGCATAAAAAGAAGAACTGTTATACTGAGTTAGTGCAATGAATTACATTCTTTAAATACACGTGGACACAACATATTCAATATAAACACTTATCCCTCTATCCAGCGCTAATACTGTCTTGCCCACCAGGGCGCCTGCTGATGGATGTGTGAAGCTCGAGTAACGCAAGATTCGCTGAGAGGGTCTATGTCGCCCCAGGGCGTAAGCCCGGAACAGTGGAGATCCACAAGACACATAACTCGGGGTATCGCGGTCCGTATACCGGAACGTACGCCTGGTACTATTCTAAATATGCGACCGTGACTCGCCTACTCAACTAACGAGTCTTACTCGCGAATCGCATAACCCCTACTCCCTAACCCTAATACCCTAACCATATCAAATAGCGACCAGGCGGCTAACATCGCAGAACGTCCGTAACAACGACACCGCCAGAGTACTGTCCCGGCAAGTATCCCTGGGACGACTAAACCACATAAACCTTATGAGCGCAAGATTTGTACACTTAAGGTAAAATACTTTTCCAAGATTTAGACTTGGGCTTTTATATATTTATTGTACCTTATATCTACCAATCAACAAATCATTATTTTATACTATGCTAAGAGAATCAACTCTTGCCCAGCAAGTTTTGAATAGCCCATCCCGGACAAAGTAACAGTAAACCCGCTATAAGAGCGTGGACTAGTAGTTGTGATGCGACGACGTAATAAGAGCATATTAGCAGTCACTTGAGAAGTAGATAAAACAGTGTGAATAGCACTCGTTTAGTTGTGGTGAGGAGAGGCGGGCAGGATGGAGAAAAAGTGTGATTTAAAAGTATAGGACGCGCACAATCCCATGTTGCGGATTTCGAGGAAGGCCCTTTTTCGAGACGGCCCTTTTCTCAGATCTCACAAAATAATATCCTATTTTTCATCTATTTTATATCCTATTAGTCTGTGGCCAAAGCCTATATTCCCAAAACTCTCCAACATTCGCAGCACAATAGTCTGTCTCATTTGAAGATCTAGGGTCCACCTTCCAGATACATCATCCTCTTCCTCTCCACACTAACAAATACATTACGAAGGCGACACCACACACCTGCACCTCCTCAATCACCCCGTCTCTCCATCCGCACCCTCAAAATCCCTTCCTCTCACCTTAGCCTCTCACACGCTGTTACCTCACAATAATCGAGAGCTCCTCTATCAAGTCCGGACGGGTGATGGTCCGGGGGGTGAAAAAAGCCCTGTAGAGGGCGTGTGAATTGAGTTGATCTTCCACTCGGCGCCATCCCCCGGGATCCATTGAATGCCTCCTGATTACCTAATATAAATAACGATGCCGTAACACAATATCACCGGGGATGCTTGCAGCAATCTCAGATCCAAGTGTCTGAATTCAACGGAGATTACAATCGCATATTCTCCAGCAGGTATCGTTACATGTGCTCACATTAGATCAGTGGTGGAAATTTGCACATCAGCGGACCCGTCCCCCGTGCCAGAACACTCGTCGATCTGCACGACTTGCGTGCTGGAGCAGTACTGCTGTATGGCACGCGACACCCGTGCGAAGCGACACACTCGCGCTGATGTATTTATCTGGTGTCTGACCGATATCGAATATCAGGGAGCCGTTAGTCAACAAGAATTTTATGAAATCAGCGCAACCAAGGACCTGCGGATTTCAGTGTATGAGTCTTCGCAAAACAACTGCGTAGCAGAATTGATAACAAACTCGTGTGAGCGGACGCGCGTCGTCGCATCGTCGATTCCTCACCTACATCCGTCCCAGTTCCCGTTAGTTACTCATCACAGCAAACATTCGCAGCCTAGTTATTGCACCACGTACGTACCGTATCACAGCCGGTGAAGTGCTAATTCACTCTAAAAAACACGATTCTCCGAGAAATATTTCACAATCAAAGAACGCTTGCATT